CCTTTACTCACATTCACTGAATTCAAAATTAATGATAGCGAACAACTTTGTTGACTAATTTTGATTAGCAGAAAGTCTCCCTTCTGTGTAATAGAAACTATTTTGTATCGAAACGCAAGCTGCAGATTTAGTATAATAGTCCTGGCGATAAACTAATCAAATATTCCACTCTGACATCCAGCGAAATGAGGTCCCAAGATCTTTCACAAAATGACATTAAAAAATCGCGCCGCTTAGGTTTTCTTTTTTGGGTAGCCTGCTCAGAGTATTTCAATGTTGGCGGCCATGTATTCAGACAGTTCTAGACAGAAACACTTGGAGGATGTGGTTCGTTGAAGTTGTGCTGATTTTCGCCGCATTTCAGTGATTAAATGTGATATAATTCAGTTACTTGTTAAGGATTGCCTAGCTTTCAAAATATACTACTTAGTTGTCCTCCGTCCACCTGTATTTGGAAGGTTAGTATTGTCTTAAAGAGTAGTCTGATAATGACGTCGCCAACAGTTGTTATGAAAACAGCTACTGTCGTTTGTTATTGACACAAGATGATTGTTAGCGGGTCGTTCAAGTAATGTAAATATTTTGTAGTCAAGAATGGCAAACTTTCTTGTTTTGATGTATAGAAAACGGTTTATCGTACTAGTGATTCAATCAAAATCGTTCGAGTCTACTTTGCATATCTATGAATCCATTATCTTCTTCACATTTTCCGCTGATCTTTGTTTCGGTAGAGCCATTCTGCGTAGTAGCTCTCGCAGACGCTGCAGGAACGGTTAAGCGGTTGGGAATGTACCTACATGTACATTTTGCATAAAAACGAAGTGGTAATACTCATTGCTTTGTGGAAATTTCGAATGCAGAAAATGTACAGTGACTGGGCTCCCAAATAATTTTGACATGAAAATGCTTTGGAATTTTGCAATTTTTAGAATATAAATTGTTTTGGGTTAGACTGAAATGAACTCCCCCCCCCCCAATTTATCATAGAGGTGTCCGTAAAAAAACTAATGGAAATTGGTGTATTATGGATATCCCTGCAACATGAGCTTGAGCCCCCCTCAAATACTTACATTATGCACGTGTCACCTCAATTTATGATTTTAAGTAAATAATACAACAACAAATAATTTGTATTACTTTAATTTTTTGTTATTTAGTTAAATTTATAATAATTAAACTCAAAAATTAGTTGGCAATACTGGTTACATATGACAATGAGAAGGGGAGATTTTCTTACGGGAAAAAATAATGCTTAGGTGAGAATATTTCTGACAAATCAGGCACATGTCATTGAGGGTGACGCATTGATGGAAGTCTATGTTAATTTGATTGTAGAGTGTGCTAAAGATCAATTTTTAATTTTTTTCTTTGTAATCTAACAGATTCAGTTAATAATTGATGAAAAAGTATTTCTGTTCATTGTAACAATTTATACATAATAATTTTTCAATACAGTTATGTTTTTAATTATTTTTTATTTTAATCTTTTCTTTTCTTAGTGACTGATCAAACCAGGAATTAATTTGGTAA